TTTTTCCTCCATTTAACAACTGACTCCATTTTTAAGGGTGATAGATTAATTGGGCTTCCGATTAAAAATCAAATGACCAAATGTTTATCTCCTCTACCTCAAAAAATTTCACTAAAATGGAGGTAATAAAAAATGTTATTAATCCATAGAGACAAAGAGAACTGGAAATGAACCCATAGGAAACAAAAGACATCAACAAATATTAATACTTAGAAGACAATGAGGACAGAAGGTGGCGACTGACCCAACAGAGCACAGGAAGTTAGGGCTAGTGGCCCGCAGGTGGAAGTTGTCCTGTCTTGCTCTGAAGATTGATTGAGGGGCTCAGAATTGAAGGCATTATATTCTGTGAGCAGAGAATTGAGGCAGGGGCTGGAAACAGGGCTGGGTTCACAGTCTGTTTGCCCAGCTACCCCCATGGGATCAGGGGGTTCACTGTCTGGATAGTTTGATGCCCAGGGCTCTGATCTCAGGGCCGACAGGCCCAGCATAGACTAGGAGGACTAAGAGGGGAAATAAAGGAAACTCCACCAGTGAATGGTGGATCTTCAGCCTCCTTTCCACACTCTGCCCCTATGCTCTTTTCTGCAGGAACCAGAAAGCCCTTGTGGAAAATATGGCTGCCCCGAAGTCTCTGGGGAAGAAAGCGGCTGCCTGCTGGGTCTTTCATGAAGGCAGCGTTCAACAAACTCAGTCCCAGCAACTCAGGAGGCTGAGGCTGAAGGATCACTTGACTCCAGGAACTCAAGACCAGCCTGGGCAACATAGTGAGACCCCACCTTTAAAAAACAAATAGCAGAAGAGATTGTTCTATAAAAATAAATAAATAAATCAGAAAAAAATTAAAGAGTTCTTTGAAGTTTGTAAAAATAACAAATAATAATTCATTATAAGGTTTTTTTAATTTCAAAAATGTAGAGGGTACAAGTGTTTTTTGTTATGTGGATAAATTGTATCATGGTGAAGTCAGGGCTTTCAGTATAATGGTCACCACAATAGGGTACATTGTACTGGACAGGTAGATTTTTATCACTCACTCCTCTCCCACCTTCCCCATTCTTAGTTTCCAATATCCATTGCTACTCTTTATGACCATGTATATCCTTCATTTAGCTCCCACTAATAAGTGAGAACATGTGGTGTTTGTTTTTCCATTACTGAGATACTTTACCTAGGATAATGGCCATCCAAGTCGCTACAAAAGACATTTAATTCCTATTTGTGGCTGAGTAGTACTCCATGGTATATGTTAGGCAGGATCCAAATCTTCAAGTGGCAGATAGAGGCCAGGAGGGTAGTTCCTAGGGGTGGAGAAGACAGGGGAAGGGACTGCAGGAAAATGCAGCTAACAACCACAAAGAGCAGAAACTTGAGGTTTTGAGCATGTACACCTGTGGAGCTGCAGCTTTGTTATAAGAACACCTGTCAATCATGTATGTCAATCATCTGGTAACATCCCACATCTCCTGTAAGCCCTTCCCTGGATAAGGCCAATAAAAAGAAACCACTTGGCAGTCCCCAATGTCTTTCTCCATTCGTGGAGACCGACCCGTTCCTCTCTGGAACATACTCTTGTTTTCTATAGCTCCCTTCTTTTCTGCAATAAAAGCTGTTTTTTTGGAAATGCTTCCTGTCTGTGGTCATTCCGTCACACCAGCTGTGGTTGTAATTTTTCCAAGAAGAGCCAAAGAACCAGGACTATTGTTTTGTCTGCCAAGAGGCCGGACCTGACAGTATATATATACACCACAATTTATCTATTCATCAGTTATGGGGCACTTAATTTGATTCTCTATCTTTGCTGTTGTGAATTGTGCTGTGATAAATATTTGAGTGCAGATATCTTTTTAATAAAACAACTTCTTTTCTTTTGGATAGATACCCAGTAGTGGGATTGTTGGATCGAATGGTAGGTCTACTTTTAGTTCACTGCGGAAGCTCCATAATGTTTTCCATAGAAGTTGCACTAGTTTGCAGTCCTACCAACAGTGTATAACTATTCCCTTTTCACCAAAACTACATCAACATCTATTATTCTTTGACTTTTTAATAATGGCAATTCTGACAAGGGCAAAGTATTACCTCATTGTGGTATTAATTTGCATTTCCTGATAATTAGCAATGTTGAGCATTTTTTTCACATATGTTGGCCATTTGTCTTTCTTCTTTTGAGAAGAGTCTGTTTATCTTTTCCTAATTTTTTGATGAGGTTATTTGATTTTCTTCCTGATGTTTTTGAGTTCTTTGTAGATTCTGGATATTAGTCCTTTGTTGGATGTATAGTTTGTAAATATTTTCTCCCATTCTATAGGTTGTCTATTTGTTATTTTCCTTTGCTGTGCAGAAACTTTTTGGTTTAATTATGTCCTATTTATTTTTGTTGTTGCTTTTTTTGCTTTGGGGTCTTACTCATAAATTCTTTGCTTAGGTCAATATCTAGAAGAGTTTTTCCTACATTTTTTTCTAGAATTTTTATGGTTTCAGGTCTTACACTTAAGTCTTTAATCCATCTTGAGTTAATTTGGTACATGCAGAGAGATAGGTATCCAGTTTCATTCTTCTGCATATGGTTATCCAGTTTTCCCAGAACCATTTATTGACTAGAGCATCATTTCCCCAGTGTATATTGTCTGCTTTGCCAAAAACCAGTTGGTCATAGCTATGTAGTTTTATTCCTGAGTTCTCTGTTCTGTTCCATTGGTCTATGTCTCTACTTTTATACCAGTTACACCAAAAGCATACTGTTTTGGTTACTATAGCCTTGTAGTATAATTAGAAGTCAGATAATATGATGCCTCCAGATTTGTTCTTTTTGCCTAGGATTGCTTTGGCTATTCATGGTCTTTTTTGGTTCCATCTGAAGCTTACGATTATTTTTTCTAGATCAGTAAGAAATTACATTGGAATTTTGATGGAAATTGTATTGAATCTATAAATCACTGTGGGCAATATGGACATTTTAATATTGATTCTTCCAATCCATGAGTATGGGATGTTTTTCTATTAGTTTGAGTCATCTACAATTTCTATTATTAAGTGTTTTCTAGTTCGCCTTGTAGAGATCTTTACCTCCTTGGTTACTTATATTCCTAGGTATTTTATTTTCTTTGTAGCTACTGTAAATGGTATTGCATTTTTTTTTTTTTTGAGACAGAATCTCACTCTATTGCCCAGACTAGAGTGTCATGGCATCAGCCTAGTTCACAGAACCTCAAACTCCTGGGCTCAAGTGAACTTTCTGTCTCAGCCTCCCAAGTAACTGGGACTATAAGGGCTCACTACCATGTCTGGCTAATTTTTTCTATTTTTAGTAGAGATAGGGTCTTGATCTTGCTCAGGCTGGTCTCAAACTCCTGACCTCAAGCAATCCTTCCACATTGGCCTCCCAGAGTGTTACAATTACAGGTGTGAGCCACCACGCCTAGCCTGATATTGCATTCTTGATTTGATTCTCAGTTTAACTATTATTAGTGTATAGAAATGGTACTGATTTGTGTACATTAATTTTTTAACCTGAAACTATTGTATTTATCAGTTCTAGGAGTCTTTTGGTAGAGTTTTAGGGTTTCTTAGGTATGAGATTGTATCTTTAGGAAACAAGGATAATTTGACCTCCTCTTTCCTGATGTGGATACCCTTCATCTCCTTCTCATGTCTGATTGTTCCGGCTAGGACTTCTGGTACTGTATATAATAGAAGTGGTGATAATGGACACCCTTGTCTTGTTTCAGTTCTTAGGGGGAATACTTTCAACTTTTTCTCACTCACTACGATGTTGGCCGTGGGTTTGTTATATATGGCTTTTATTCTGACGTATGCTCCTTCCATGCCTAGTTTGTTGAGGGTTTTTATCATGAAGTGATGCTGAATTTTATTCAATGATTTTTCTGCATCTATTGAGATGATAATATGATCTTTTCACAGCCAACCTTATACAGGGGGAATCTTATGCCTTGAGGAATGGAAGACAAAAGGCCAATGTGGATTAGTAATTTTAGTGATATCTTTGTTGCTCCATAATCAGTTGGAAACAGAACATGGTCCCTTTCTCTTATGTCACAAGTTGAAGGGAACAGTGCAAAGAGGCCTTCACCCTTCCAGATGGGCATCATGTGTATTGCCATTTTTTCTGTAGGTTGGATTAAATATAAATAAGGCAATGATTAGACATTTATCCCTCATAATAGGCTCTATGGCAGACTCCCCTGCAAAAGCTATGGTTGCAAAACAGACTTCTTTAAATTCTTCTTGCTAAGTTGTACTAGATAATATAATTGCTATAGATTACGTACTGACTGAACAGGGAGGGATCTGTGCAGTTGCTGACATTTCTTGCTGTATATGGATGAACATATGGGGTATTATAGAGATTCAGTTGCAGGGTATTAACAAATGGGCTGCTCAGTTAAAACAAGTAGATTTTTCATCTGGTTCATTCTTTGATCTATTTGATTTTACTTGACTTGCTTCATGGGGACACCATGGCTAAGGAGAACACTCCCAACTCTTAGTATTTTCCTCCTGATAATAATAATCACAGTATGCCTGGTGTACTGTATTCTCTCAAGTTTTAAATGTTTGCATGCAGCCATCTGTAGAAGGTCAAATGGTCTCTCTTCTACTGGAATGACAAAAGCTCAATGAAATGGGTGGTCATAACGATCCCATAACCTATAAATGACATGTTGAGACCAGAAATCCAAAGGATGGTAACTGAAAGTGGCACTAAAGCCTTCAGCTTTGGACACACTCTCACCTACGTGAAAGCCTGACCAAAAGGGGTGAATTCTTAAACAAAATTATGGAAGCCATTGTTTTGGACTGAGCTCATGCACTAGGTATCAACAGACCAAACCAAAATAGAGTCACTCATGCTAAATGCTATGTAATCAAACTGAAACTCTAAGGATGAGATAGATTCCAAAACAAACCAGGTTTTTTGTTTTTTCCCTCCTGGAAACAGGAATTTCTAGCATAATAAATAAGTCCCCTCTGCTCTAGCTCTTACAAAGTAAGCTTATATAACCAGTTTTTTTTTTTTTTTTCTTGTTTTGTTTCCTTGTTCTCATCTTATGAAACCCACTGTTCTGCTATTTCCCAGTGAGATTTGAGTCCAAATAAGACCATTTAGGACGGCGACAGGATGACATCAACGCCTAAAGTTTTGAAATTTAAAATTTCAAAATTGAGAGGTTAAGCAAAAAGAGGAAATTATTAAATTAAGCTTATCCTAACACTGGTTCCTTACATATTTTAAGTTCAGCCTACAGTTTTCTTGGTATATAGTGAACTGTAACCTAACAGCAATCTACTCTTGTAACAAGTAGCCAAGTCTCAGCCAATCACAAGCAGCCAACTGTTCAAACCATGTTCAAAAGAGGCAAATGCCAAGCTGTAACCAATCCAGCTGGTACTGTACCTCACTTCCATTTTCTGTACATCACTTCCCTTTTTCTGTCCATAAATATTATTCAACCATGTGGCAACTCAAATTAAATTCTCTCAAAAATTTTTTTAAAGTTTATGGCAAGTAGGAGACAAAAGAAAATTAGAAGCTGAGAACAAATCTTCTTGGGGACAATCTCCTATCTAATAGGACTTTCAGAAAGAGAGAAAAGAAAACAGGTGTTGTGTGATTTCAAAATGACATACCTTGGCAAAGCCTTTCTCACTTATGAGAAAGCGGGCACTTGGGAGGCCTTTCAGTAAAGAGACTTGGGTTATTTCATTTTGGGAAATGTTCTTGGAGAGCTTTCCATGTATCTGAAACAGAGCCCATTCTTTTTAAATGTTTCATAATACTCTATTGTCTAGAATTAAATAGCATATTTAACTACCCATTTCTCTGCTGATGAGCATTTAGGTGTTTTGTGTTTTTTGGCATTACAAATAATGTTGCAATAAAATATCCTAGAATCCTCATCCTTGCAGATGTTTGAGTATTTTGCTGAGAAATATACCTCAAAACAGGATTTATGGATTATAGATATAAGCATTTTTTATTTAAAATGAAAAGTTTGGCCTTTCCTCATGACACCCCAATTTGTACTCCCAGTAGCAGAGCTTGAGGGTCCATTTCCCCAAACCATAGCCTACACTGGATGTTAATAATTTTTAAAAATTTTTTCCAATCTAATAGATTAAAAAATGGTATCTCATCCCAGTTACCCTGATTTGATCTTTACACATTACATAAATGTATCAAAATATCACATGTAACCCCAAAATGTCACATGTACCCCCAAATTATGTATCAATAAAAGAGAAAAAAGACTACTTATTTTTATCTTAATTTGTATTTCCCTATTATTAAGGATGAACAAGTCTATTAATTATTTGCAATTTTTGTTCTATGAATTGGCCATTCATATTCTTTGAACATTTTTATTAGATTATTTGTCTTTTTCTTACTGATTTATAGGAGCTATTTAAATATTCTGGATAGAGATTTTTTAATTCCTTCATGTTATCAGTATTTTATTCTAATCAATTTTCTTTTTAACTTAGTTATGGTAGCTTTGGTTGTACTGAAGTGTTTAATTGTTAAGTAGTCAGAATTACCGGGGTTTATGTCTTGGTTAAGTAGGGCTTTCTTATTCCCAAGACTGAATAGCTGGACCTTTTCTCATTGAGGTTAAAATGACGATATAGAATAATGAATGGAACATGTGTGTGTAATGTGGTCCATTCCACTGATCAAATTATCCACTGAAGTATGACTAATACCATACTTTCTTTATTCATTATAGTTTTAGGATACATTTTGATATCTGATAAGAAATACCCTCCCTCTCTTTTCTTTTTTAAAGGCTTTATAAATGGGACAAATTTCTATTTTTTCCCTTTTCCTTTGGGTGTTGGCAACAATTTCAGTCAGTTTGAACAGTCTCTATGATTTCAGCGCCACCCAGCCATCACACAGATTAAGCGACCACCTTTGGATCTTACCTAATACCCTGGGTGTATGCCAATCGCTGCCCTGGGCCCTGGTTTTTAATCACCTGTTTCTCTGTTCATCTTCCCCATTACAGTGAGAGCTCCCCAACACTGAGGGGACTCGGTGTTCTCCATATTTGTTGCCGAGCAGCTGGCGGGACACATACTGGCTGTCTATAGCATGACTGGATAGAGAAAGGACACTCACAGGATGCTCTGTACCCAATACACACAGACTGCATTTTGTGAATACAAGGGCAGAGGAAGGAGGTGGCAGGAAAGGAATTGCTTGAATTCGAGAAATGACAGATACACAGGTGGAACACAGGGATGACAACATAAACTCACAGTTGTTAAGAGACATAAGTGGACAATAACATCATCATGGATCACTGAGGAAGTACCCACTGGTTATCCTCCTTACCCTAAAACCAGGATATAGTCAGCAGTACCAATGTAGTAAAAGGAGGGAATTGTAAGGTTTGACTAGCTGACTGAGAAGCTTATGTCTTTAGAACCAGAGAGCTGTTAAAAGGTTTGATTTGTCAATCGACTCACTTTGACTTTACATGCTTTAATATCAGTGGCAAGAAAGTCTCCACCAAATGTGGGATAAACTGGGAAAAGACTGCAGTGAGGATGAAAGGGTGCCACGTATATTCTTTAAATGGCACAGTATTAATACCCTGCATGAAGTTAGATATTTAGTTATTTACCCACACATTGGTGTCAATTGTTGCAAATTTAGGATCCTTGAAAGCCTGTGGTGGGTATTTTGGGATTTTTTAATTGAGACATTTCTACAAATGAGGAAATGTGGCAGATGGTGCTTCCTGCTGCATTTTTTCCCAATTTTCTACCAATTTAGTATAAAGAAACCTCCAGCTTCTTCTGTCTAAAATCATGTCCAAACAGTGAAGACAGGTTTACCATTTACAGCACTAGATAATTGGAATGGTGGGAAGGAAGAATGAGAACATTTGACTTTATGCTTTCTATATGTCTGTATTATTTTTATAAGCATGTATTATGTTTTTACTTATATTAAAACAAGCCAACAAAACAGCCATCAAAATCAGTGTGTCTAGGGGCCTGGTGGGGACAGTGGTGAGAAATCAGTCTAACTCTCAGCGGTAGCAATAGAACCTCCCATTTTTAGGTTTGGAAAGTATTCTTCGGTGGATTTAAATATCTTTCTGTTTATCAGTGGAAGGCAAAAAGTCTGAATCTAAATATTTACAAGCAAGTCTTCCTGTTTTCTCTTTTTTTTTGTTTTGTCCCTAGGACTATGCAAGAAAATAGAAAATTACTCCCGATAGTTTGACATGTCAGCCTGCAGTTGATCCCTTCGGCCACCGGGTGACACTTGAGTATCTCTACAGGGGAAGACAGATTTGAGCAACCTTAATCTAAAGAGAAATTTTTAGAAATTTGGGACATTTGACAATCACCAAATTAATCTATGGAGAAACGAGGTATAGGTGTTTCTTGACACATTTTTATGAGCAGATCAGAAAAAGGTTTCCTTATTTTTTCTCTTTAAGTGGATGAATATGATCCCAAAGAAAGCACATAGAATATTTTATTAGTCTTGAGCTCTGGGAAAACTAATTTGTATTATTTAATTCTATTATTTACAATAATTTATATTATTTCTTCTACTGTCTTTAAGAAAATTCTATTAGATGGATATATAAAAAACAAAAAACTTTGAATCTATCCCCCAGGTCTCAATTTTTCCCTCATACTTTTATTCTTTTGATCTCTCTGCATTGTGTCCTAGAAAGTAACCCAACTTAATCTTCCACCTCACAAATTCATTTTTTTAATCTGCATTCATTCTTCTACTATGCTCATCTACCAAGTTCTTTTCCATGATTCATTCATTGAATGCTTCTATGGTGACAGGGACTATCTGAGGATCTCTTCAGATCCCAGACCTTTTGGGGGATTGCAACATCCTCCAATCTAAGGATATTGAGTTTGTTGCCTTGTTCAGGGTGTTCATGTTGCTCAAATTTCTGCGATATGATTGACTATTCATTTTTGTCATCAGGGTCTCCTGGTTCAGTGAAAGGTAGCCTGCCTCTGTGGCCCCTGGGGAATACTGAAACATACTGCCACATGAGGGGAGCCAGTAGTCTGCTAAGCACAAGGGCCCCTCATCCTACTGGGGATCTATAGCTACTGAAGATTTTGTGGGTATTCTCTGGCCCAAGATCTACATTCAGTTCTTTGGCCTGAGAGCAACTGCTGTTGCCATCTACTGACCAGTCCACGTGTGGGAGAAGGCCAAATGATCCAGCAGTTTCAACAGAAGCCTCACAAGAGAGATTTCCAAGACCCTCTTCTAGTTTGGGGCTGCCCTATAACTGCTCCCATTTGACCTACAGTCCTTATTTCTGTAAAGCCATGCTTTTCTCTGGTCTCATATATCGGATCCTGTTTCCATATCTCTGAACTCCTCAAAAGCAATGGTTAATTTACGGGATTTTGGTTTCACAATGGCATTAGTTTTCATTGCTTAAATCTGTCTAAACTGCTAGGCACCAGCCATAATACTCAGGAGAGGATTTATATATTTAATTCAGTTATCTTTCTTAAGTGCCTAAGTGAAGCATAAGGAAACTGCTATCAAGTTCAGTTTTCCTACTCAAGTGAAGGCATCTGAGTGGAACCTTGAAGAACAGGAAGAACCAGACATGTACAGACAGGTGTATGAGAAGAATAGCAACTAGCTACTTTGACTTGAAACACTGATTCATCATAGAACTTGAGACATTTAAAGTGACAAGGGAAAAATAACTGTCAGGTTTTTTTAAACAAACTATATGGAAGGTACATAAGGAAAAAAAAAATCCATAGATTTTTTAAAAATCTGTAAACTATCAGAGATCATTTATCACAAAATTAGGGTAAAATGATAAATAAGGCCCATACATTTCTATTAGATGTGTGTGCATGTGTGTTTGTGTGTGTAAACTATTTATACTACATGTCGCTTTTTAACAAACATTTAATAGTTTCTATTACAAGAAAGTTTAACGCCTTAAAAACTATTGGTAGGGAACTTTTGGGAGAATGGTCCATTCTTTAGATGTTTTCTGTAGAACTAATGTATAGATTGTCAATTGACATGATTGTGGTGGTGAAATGTGGTCCTCTAGGGAGTCATTTCTGAATATATTTGTTATAAAAACATTCAGTATTAAAAAATGATTTATTTATATTTGGAAAATCATAGCTGCGGAATTGGGGGCAGCAATGGTCAATTCTATGTAACCAAGAGGAGTCTCATAAGGTGTAGCATGAATGTAAGAATATTATTTTATCCTAAAAGGACACAGATTTTTAAAAGGTTGAAAAATAGTGCTTTAGAGATGCAGTCCCCAACCCCTGGGCCACAGACTGGGACCAGTCCATGGCCTGTCAGGGACTAGGCCACAGAGTTCTGCCACCCATCAGTGGAAAAATTGTCTTTCATGATATTTAATGGGGGCAGTAGGGAGGAGGGAGAGCACAGCAGGAGATGAGAGCAGCTCTATCTGCATTTAAAGCTGCTCCCCTTTGCCTGTATCACCACCTGATTCCATCTGCCCCCACCCCACCCCATCCATGGAAAAATTGTCTTCCATGAAACTGGTCCCTGGTGCCAAAAGGGTGGGGGACCACTGCTTTAGAGGATGGTTCTAGGGCCTCAAGTCTCCTTAAGACACCACAATTTTTTGCTTATAAAATGACCAAAAGAAGTATTTTGGAAACCATAACTTATGTTTAACACCACAAAACAGTAAGCAAAACTCATCTGTTCTTTACCATATGCAGTGTGGCTCCCCCACGGATCATTTTTTAACACTGACCTAAAATGTAAGAAAAAAGTATTATGAATTTAGCTTTTATTCAAAATTAAATAAGCAAAAGCAAAAATTTTAAGAAACTTTTACAAATTACTTACATAAAAGAAAGTTAATAGGGACAGTCACAAGTTTGCAACAAATAATTACAAAAGTATCTAGGGCAGCATGAGTACAAACCATGTCGCAGCATGGTGATCTAACTGTGATATGAATAAGGCATAACTAACATCTGCACCAAGACCAGAATTAAAAAACAAAACAAACTTTAAAAGCTTAGTTCTACATCTTCTCTTCCCCCAGCTCCTTAATGGGCTTATACTATGTAATCTTTTTAAACAAACACGTCATGTCAAACTATAAATTACATAGATGGGCAGTTAATGTGAAAAGCCCCCTAAACTGTACAGACTAACTGGTACTGAATTGAGTTCTCCACTTACCTTTATGTACAATTAAATGTAAACCATATTTTCACAGTTTTAAGTGTTTTATGAATAGATGCACAGTACCATGTCAGGTTTACAAGTGTTCCTGAAAACTGGCTCTAAGTTCTGCATCCAACGCCTATCGGCCACTGGGATGCAAGTATTTACATAAATAGGAAACTGTGTCATAGTCAATGGTCAAGACGGTTCAGCAAGAGCAGTATTTCCAACAAAGAATGATACTCAATACTATATTTTACATACTTGTGCAAATATAAGCATTAGGACAGATAAATCTGAGGCAAATTCAATTTGCAAAAACTTGTATCACTACTGTTGTAAACTTGGGCAATAAATGACCCTCAGCAAGTTCTGCTCTCTATGGCTTTTTTTTCTTTTAAAATTTTAAAGCCAGAGAAAATGCACACACACCACCACCCATCTTTCTCTCTCTCTCTCTCTCTCTCACACACACACACACACACACACACACACACACACACACACACACTCTCTCTCTCTCTCTCCACAGACATACACAGAGTTCTCATTTCATTTTAGAATATGGTACATAGTGCAACTTCATCACAATGTAGAGGTTTAACACACATTCGGTGTATGTTTTTCTGTGCAAGTTCTTAGTGGTCTAAATCCTAGTTGAAGGTATTCATTTGCAGAACCATATGATTCAGGAGGTTGAAGGAAAAAAAAAAGTTTCATTACATTTCTGAAACCAGCACTGGATGTGCAAAGGCAGCGGACAATCTGGCCATCAACACAGCCAGATTAGGGTAACTTTCAAGGAAGATCCAAGCAGTTAGTTACTTAGATTGGTCTCTAGAAAAGTAGGTCAGTATATGCTGTATCTTTGTCAATCTTTCTTTCAAAGACTTCATTGACAAAACTGACAGCTGGTATCGGGGATCTACAGGAAGAACTGCAAGAAGCCACCAACACCATGCAGGTCCATTAGGGGTTGCCTAAAAAAAATCAATAGTTTATAGTATTAATAAAACAAGTATTTATGTAACAATAACATAACAAATCACCAAAAAGCTGCCATTGATTGAGCACTTTACTATGTGCTATGTCCTGTTTCAAGTATTCTTAACAGTCCTGTAAGGTACAAAGTGGGAACCTAAAGCTCAGAAATGTTAAGCAAATTTTCCAAGAGCTGTGGCAGAGCCAAGACTCAATCTAGACCCGACTCCACTGCCAGCACTCACACTTCCCTCTGCACTGCACAGCCTTAAAGCAGGGTTTCGTAATTTCAGGCTACTGGCGTTTTGAGCCAGATAATTCTATCTTGTGTGCCATAGCACGTTCAGCAGCATCTCTGACCTTTGTCCACTAGATGCCAGTAGCACCTCCCCCATTATGACAGCCAAAAATGTCTCCAGATAAGGCAAAATGTCCTCTGGGGGCAAGACTGATCCAAGCTAAGAACAACTTTCTTAAAATATATACTTAAAGCATTAACAAAAGTTAGTTGCTATTTAAAATTTCCTCAAAGTATTGTGTAATCCTAGGAAAAATATAAGAAAAACGCCTTGGCTTCCAGGTTTGTTTGAAAAATAAAAAGTTCTCCAACAAAGAAGTCCCTCTGATATTGTAAGGGCTGACGACTGGCTATTAAAAGGACTGGGAATTTACATAAAAGTATATATATGCCATCTTTACTGTACATTGGATTGCTTTTTATTGGACCTGAAACATGAAGTTTCAGAATGACAAAAGGAGCTATGACATCAGTGCTGCTGTCAATAAGCTTCCTCCAGAAGAAAATTAGATTTCTGTATTTGTGCATTGCCTCCTCTCAACTCAGCATCACTACCACCTCTTCCAAATTCCAGAGACCTGAGAAACTACCTTTCTCAGATCCCCTCCCCCATATGGTTCTGGGTTAGACTTGGCCAATGAGAGGCACTCTCATGAGATGTGCAAGTTGGAACAGAAGAGACCATTATTCTCTAGAGAGTGTAGCAAAGTGTGGGCAGCAGCTTTCCAGAGAATTCTTGAAAAGCATCTGCTCTACTGCTGCAGACTGAGATACTGGTGAAGACCCACCCACTGAGATTACAGCAGCTTCCTCACAAGTTCTTAAGAAGCACCTTGTTTGCTACTCCAGGGGAAGATTTGTGTGTCAGATTCCCTGACCTCTGCAGGTGTTGTCCCTGGATCTTCACTCCTGCAGCTCTCCCAACCACTGCATAAACTCCACGTCCTACACTAAACCCTTCCTGGAATATGTAGAGTGGCTACGTTTGATCTCCTGACTGAATCCTAACTCACATAATATCACTAACAAAAAGAAGTGGTGGAGGATGAGATAAATGGGTGGTAAAAGTGATAAGAAAGTAATGCGGAATTTTTCTATAAGCTTTTTTTTAACATTTAAAATTTCTTATTCAATATTGCTCTTATCAAATCCTATTTCTGTCATGTTTAATCGGATTCAGGTAGGCAGGGTAAAACAAGCATATGGCAACTGATAATATGCTAAACAGAATGGGTACTCAATTTTGAGACGGTCTGATGTTGAAATTTCAAGTTCAGGTGAAGGATTCAACTAGGATTCAGACTTAGACCAACTTTTGAAAACTGGAATGAGAGGCAGTGTACATCATGGTGGGACCTATTATCTCTCCATCTTCATATATTTATTTACAGCCATGCCTTTATGAAACTGATCACCTTCTGACCACAAACATTTTATTCAATTCAAAACGCTATGTCTAAAAGTTAGCGCTTTAACAAGTCTATAATCAGATTTTCCAGGATACAGACCCTTCTTTTATCCTTCTTGCAGTGCCTACTGCACAGATCTGCTTGCACAGAAAATGCCTGATACACATTAGTAAGATTAAGCTTAAATGGAAACCCTAAGTACCTGAGCAAGACCATAAGCATAATACTTTCATGAAGAGTGAAGTAGTAAACGTGAAGAGACAAAAATGGATTGAAGTCATGGGGTAAGATGTTGGGGATAAAAGGAGAGGCAAGAAAATATTTTTTAAATGTACAAAAAATGACATGTCTCTCCACAGTCAAAGAATAAGAGTACAGCTGAAGAGCTCGAAGGCATAGTTGACTCACAATCATAGTTTACTACATGGTAACATCGCATTTTATTTCCTTATCCCTCCTCCTAGGAAATCCTCAATGAAGGACTTGCTCCTTCTCTGGAGTGCTCTCCTATAGGCATCTCAGCTGACACCAATTCCAAGCCTCTACCTATATAAAACACAGTGGATACCAGGGCTCTAGAGAACATGGTCAGGATTCTAAAGACTGGGTTCAAAAGAAATGCTGTGCAAAAAGGCAAATTTTTAAAAGAAATTTTAAAATCTACTAATTTGAGTTTACAAAAAAGTGAGACTTTTGGAAGTAATATTAAAACCACCATACCTGAAGGTTTTCCTCCCTCTCAGGCATTGATCCAAAGTGCTGAAGAATTTGGCTCCGAAATCTGTCTCTTAAGTTCTGAAACCAGCTGCAGGCTTGAGAGTATACCAAATCATGAAGTTCTCTGAGATTCTTAATCTCATCTTCATTCTCAACCTAGAAATACAACAGTCAGTAAGACTTCTATGAATAATTCCCCTGTCCATCTCATCAACCCTACATAAATGAAAGGAAGCACCAAAAAACATCAGAAAAATAGGGGAATAATTCTATTTCAGTGATGAATTATCTATCAGAGAGTATGATGTAATTCTTATGCTATAATATATATTTCTGCCTTACATAGTGCTACTTGGCCAGACTAAAGAAAGACAGTAGGGCCTGACCTCTACCACCTTGCTGACTTAGCAGTGCAATACTGCAGAAGCCTACTAACAGCCCCCAAGTGGGAGGAGTAAGATTCAGAGTAAGTTCTGGTTCACAGGTTTACACAAAGTTGGAATTGCTTTTGTCTTTATAGATCAATGGTTTTTTAAAGCAGTGGAACAAAAGAGTGGAAGAAGAAAGTTGCTACAATAAAAGAAAAGATAGTGGGTCAGGGTACAGACAACATGACAGAAAGTAGCAACAGGAGTCCAGGCATAATTACATCTTTTACTGGGGAACTGGGTCAAAACACAAAACAAACAAAAAGCCACAACCATTAACTTAGTGTATAAATTCAGTATATTAAAGAATAGGGAATCAGTTATACAATGATGAACTTTTCCTGTTGTACCCTTTAGACTATTGGATCACCAAACTGCAAATGTAAAATTAAATGCATCCATCTTACAGCCTGAGATCCAGAGGAACAGTCTCCTAGAACACAGGTGGGAAGATCTAAAGTTAACATACCCATCTTATATAGATTTCTTTAACACACACATTTATATCCCACTCCCTACGTGCCAGGTAGTGCTCTGTCTCATACACATTAACTCATCTGAACAAATACCAGGCCTGACTCAGCCTTTCATACTTCAAGGATGACTAATACAAAAACAACAAAGGGACTCTGAAAACATTCTGAAAGATACAAAAGGTAAGCCTATAGCTTTATAGAGACAAAAAAAATATCCTTTTTACATATGAAGGATTTGCAATGAAAATTAAAACTAAAGTTTAAAAAGCATCTGCTTTTCACACAACAATGTGAATGTACTTAACACCACTGAACTGAACTGTACACTTAAAAATAGTTTAAATGGTAAATTTCATGTTATATATATTTTACTATTATAAAAATAATTTTTTTTAAATTGTAGATGAGTCATACAACTCAAGAATTCTGGTCTTAGAATGCTTATACAAGATTCAGTCCCTGCAAACATAAATTGAACTTGATATGAGCAAGAAATAAATTTGTGATTTGTTAAATCATTTAAAAAGAAAAAAGAGCATCTGCTTTGTACTCTCACAAAAATTCAAGGAGACAAACCATGGCTCTGGTAAACAAAGAATGGTAAGAATTGAAACAGTCTGAGATGGAAAAAGAAGCCGGCCAAAGAAGCAGGCAGAAATTTTAAAAGCAAGCTTTTAAAGTTAAAGAACTTTACAGCAATAATATAATAGAATTTAATTTTTTGTTAGAAGTCAAAGAAAACAGAATTATTACAATAAGGAAAGAAGACTCTGATATAAAAAACAAATATGAGAAGCTATTCCAGAATGGACGAGAAAAGCATTATACAGATGAAGACACTAAGATGAGGAAAAATTATTAGCCATTCCTAAAACCACAAACACACATAGGACTCAATTTTCTAGACATCAAATCCATAATACTTTCAATATGCTATTCTATTTCTATATTTATATTTACATATATACATATGCATAAATATGTTTTAGCCATATACTCAAGGGATTTTGTCATCAAACCCAATACATGAAGGTATAATTTACATAAAGCTAAAATAAGGTTATTATTTTTACAAAGAACATTACCTTTAGCACATGATTCTATTAACCGAGCATGCCTAAGGCACAGAGTATATATATCAATCAGCTCAAAATTTCAACTGACACAATACTTTTGGCCTACTTCGCACAAAGCAAAGTACCCCACAGTGTTTTTATAATAAGACAGGACAGGCAATATCATTCTAAACAAGTTAATCAGCAATGGCAACAGGGTATAATGATAAAGCACAGGACCGAGAGTCAGAGAGTTAGCTTTAAATCATTTTGTTACACTACCTACAGGATCATAGGGAAATTAATTAACACCTCTGAATTGCACTTTTCTGATCTGCTATTTTATATAGGTGTGAAAATTCAAGGAGCTAATGCTTATGAAAATACCTAATGGCAACATTCAACAAATGTTGACTGAAATGAAGGGCATAAACAAACAATAAAAAAATGATGGTGTAAGATCTATGTTTTTATAATGCCTTTCCACAAGACCTTCAATTTGATATTTATAACATCACAAGTCATTTTTTCTGGTTCCTAAACTCATTGCAAGTGGTAAATAAGGTACTGCAAATATCAAAAGGGCCACATTTACCTTATCCAAGAAAGATATAACAATAACCCTACCCAGGTAAGATAACACCAGTATGTATAATAACAGTGCTTTCTCTGTGATGGCCTAAAATTTTGGTACAGCATCCAACTCTATTTTATCATTAAGGTTATTTTAGGCACAGGAATAATCTTAATAATTCTTTCAGGATTTTGTGTGTCTACCTTTACATCAAATTTCAATGTACTGATTACATTCACTTTGACTACTAATAAATTCAATAAAACAGGACAGTGATTAGCAAATTTCAAAATTTAGATGGTTTGAAAGTTCAATTTAGTCAATTGAACAACAATTGTTAGGTATCTACTGTGCATATACACATGTATACACATGCACTATACATCCTAGGCACTGTGCTGGTTGTTAAGTCTGTAGAAATGATGGGGATCTAGGTTCTTGTCTCCCAAGTTCTCTTGGAATGCACAATGATTTAAGGGTAAAATAAAAAGGAAACTTGGACTAATTCTCATAAGTAGCAGTGATAAGGGTGTCTGATAGAAAGAACTGGCTCATATGTCTAGGAGATATTGGCCTGCATGCCTGTACTAACCCCCAGAACAGAGTATACCAAAGTATGCTGGAAAAGAACAGTTTTTAATACCTTAACATCCTCCAGATATTCAATGTCTGCAGTGCAATATCCATCTTTCATTCCTCTTTTTAAAACCCTAAACCGCTTTCCTCCAACTGTATCAACCACAGACCTTCCATCAGGTAAGAAATGTACATTTCTAATTTGTAACATACAACCATAATCTGCAAAACTAAAAGAAAACTCTGATTAGTAATAAAGTTCAAGCACAAGCATGCAAGTTCTCATACATATTGAAAGAAAGTTCTGATTTAAATACAAATATTTAAGTTCACAAAAACCATACCTATTTTGTGTATCACTGACACACATCCCAAACTGTTTGGTTCCAGTTTGTATACTTCTTCGAATCATCAATCTATATCTTGGCTCAAATACATGAAGAGGGCAAGGCACAGTGGGATAGGCCATAGTGCAAACAAATATTGGAACACTCTTGGTTAAGCTGAAGGAGAAAAAGCTTCATTATTATAGATCAGAACATACAACAAAAATGAGTGATGTTTATAATAGTAATAAATTAATGTAAAAGAAATCAGTTCTAAATAAGGTGATTTTTATTTCTGGCAAGAACAAGAATCAGCAATCCCTTCATTAGGCTCACACTGATGCAATATTAATATGAAAAATCTGTTTGTGATCCTCTTATTTATAAGAGTAAGTTTGAATTTTGAGACACCAGGTTATCAAATACACCAGTGTATCAAATACACCGAAGTATCTTTATGAATCAAAAGACAATTTATTATAATTTTTTTTTTTTTTTTTTGAGACAGAGTCTTGCTTTCTTGCCTAGGCTAGAATGAGTGCCGTGGTGTCAGCTTAGCTCACAGCAACCTCAAACTCCTGGGCTCGAGCGATCCTCCTGCCTCAGCCTCCCGAGTAGCTGGGACTACAGGCACGAGCCACCATGCCCGGCTGATTTTTATATTATATATTAGTTGGCCAATTAATTTCTTTCTATTTTTATGGTAGAGACGGGGTCTCGCTCAGGCTGGTTTCGAACTCCTGACCTTGAGCAATCCGCCCGCCTCGGCCTCCCAGAGTGCTAGGATTACAGGCGTGAGCCACCGCGCCCGGCCTTATTATAATATTTTATATCAAAAATGTTTTAAATGTTTGTAACATGACAGTTAATATCATTCATGACAGTTAATAGATAGCCACAAAATACTTACAGTTACTCTTAGATAACAAGAAAAAAAAATGAGCATTCACAGAAAAAAAATAAGCTTTCACAACAGATGAAAAGCAAATAATTAAAAATTCTTAGGTATTAAAATATTTTCAAACTCACAATCAAAAAACAAACTCTGATAACATTTTTTCAGATAATTAAAATACCATTTTTCATTGACAGATTGCTAGAAAGTAAGAGAAGGATAAAGGCAATGTCCAGTTGTGTCAAGGTTATGGGAATAATTGGCAGTGTGGGGGCAGTTTAAAACAGCACAGCCATGCTAAAGAAGAATTTGGCTATATACATCAGAAGCCTTATGTTTGTAATTGTAAATGTTCATGTCTTTGGAACCAAGAAACTCACTTTTAGAATTCTATAAGTACTATACAAATGTTCGCTGTAGCTCTGTGAATAGCAGCCAAAATGGATAAGCACAGAGAAGCCTAGTAAAATCAACTATGTGCATCCATAAAACAGAATACTTGTTTCCATTAAAAGATGATGTGTACAATACTTCAAAAAATTTTTATACTAATGAGAACAGGAGGCTATAGAATAATATGAATAATACAATCCAATCTTTGTTTAAATTATATTTATATATACTGTATTAAAGCCTGAAAGGGTATATGCCAAAATGTCAATAGTGATTCCCTTGGGTTGCAGATTATAGTTTTTTTTAGTGCTCATTTATATTTTTTAGTTTTTCTTTAAAACAACTATAATTTACTTATGTAAATGTAATATTTAATAAAAACACAATTATAATACATGTTAAAAAATATATAAATAAATAAAATAGCCCCATTAGTAAGCAGCAAGACTCCAGGAAGCTTCTCTCCAACATGCTCAGCTCTTGCCATGTCTGCCTCATCTGTCATGTGCATATACTACTCTTAGTGGGCAGTCTGCTTGTATCACTATGTTTAAGATTTCGAAAACATAATTGCAGCTTTCTTAAATCTAGCTTTTTTGGTATTGATGAAAAATATTCACAATCCTTACATCAGAATATTTTATAGCATAAAATCAGACAATAAAATATCAATTCCATGGGAAGATAAGTCCATATTTATTTCTGTACAGAAAAGACTGGAAATCTTTTTTCTATTGAAGGCCACTGGCCCACTGAAGACATATCATGGGCACATATTGAAAAAGAACAGTCTATAAGCACATTTTAGAAAGTGAGAAATATAAAATATTCCATTTATATTTCAAAAAAATGGAAACAAAAAGTTGGTTGCTAACAAAAGACAGCATATAAACGTTCCAATTTTGTTCTTTAGTGTGCTCAGTTAAAAGAAAAGGAAAGAAACAATTAAGAAAGTAAACACCTGTGAAAGAAATTTAAAGAGACCCAAGTGACAGGTCAAAGAGAGAAAGACATGAAGGAAACAAAGGGAATAAAGTGAAAGAAAGATGTCCCGGGCCAGTAGGGCCAGGCCTAACCTACCCAGCTCCAATTAGCCTCTATGTTCTCTTAATAGTGATAAGTACTACCTAAATCCCAAAGTTACCTCTGGGCTTTTCACCTGCCTGACACTAACTCAACTCAACTCTGCTCCCAGTCAGTATCTTTATTAACTGAGGATTTGGCCCGAGACACCCCTTCCAATTCCAGTGTTGGGTCTCAAGGTTTGGAAACCTTGCCTAACCTTCTTTGACTAACACTCCCCGCTGTCCTAGATCCTTTCCCTCACCCTTCCTCCTGCCCTGCCATGACACATGAGAGCTATGTCACCATCAGTAGCACTGTTACATTCCCACCTTTCTGTTCCCCATTCTACTGCTGGATGTCACTGCAGGAAATTCCTCCCCTTCCTAAAATACTACCTTGGCCCAAAGGGCTAAGTCAATAATTCCCTACAGAACATTTGGATGCTACCAAATGAACTTTTATAATATTCTGTGTGTTGAGGACAGGGGAAGCTGACCAATATTTGCTTTAAAATGCCTTTAAATAGACTGAGTTGAACTAAAGACAGGATCCAGCTTGCTTTGAGAAGGTTTCTCCTTACTATTTCAAAGGGTAGTAGTTCATAATTTAATTTTTATGAGAAGAAACTTACTGTGAGAGTTCAGCAGTTTCTTCATCATATATTTTTTTTCTCTCAGACAGTTCATCAGGCAGATACTTCACTATTAATTCTTCCAACAGCTGTGTGACACAGTACCTCCTATCTGCTAGATACTAAAAGACAATATTATTTTACATTCCAGTAGTTGTTTTCCTACAGTATAAAACAGGCAAAACAGTTTAACTGATATATTAAAGCCTTTATTATATACTTATACAGTCAATTCTGAATTAATTTAATTAGTGAGGGGGAACATTACAATGGATGATGCTAAACAAGGTAAACCTGCCTGAGGCTTTGCTCAAGAGCATTAAAGATGCATGGCTGCAACTTGAACCAAGCCCTACAGAACAGTTTTCTGCTATGATCACAGACCCTCCATGAGCCACAATCAGCCCAGCCCCTGCCATCTCCCACAACAAAGGCCAATTTCCATCTGAAAGCTCATGGATTCTAAAGCTATCATTTTAACTGAGAAACAAAAAGGAAATAAAGGAATAAAGAAAATAATGCATTTGCCTTATTTAAGAAAAGCAAAACTATTCCCTTTTTTTGTTCTCAATTTCAGAGGCAAAGTGTGTAGATAATTTTTCTTTCAGATTTTCCTTCCATTGTCACTACCTATCACTCAGACCCTTACCAAGATATTGCTTTTCCTATATGATCCATCCACCCAACTCTATATAAAATAGTACATTTGCGCTAATTTAAAAGTACTCTGAGAAAGTACTATACTCATACATTTTTCTGTCATCTCTATTCCAACTGATCTCACTCCTGCCTATGAAAAACCTATCTATCCTTCAAGGTCTAACTCCAATTTTACCTTTTCATAAAGTCTTCCTTAATTATTTTTCTATTTCCCTAAAATCCCATGTTTTACTGCTTTTACCACCACATGAAAGGCACTGAACTGTAGTATATGGATCCGGATACCTTATATCTCTGTAATTAAACTAAGAATAGCTTAGGGCCAGGGAACAGGTCAGAGTGTATGCACAGAACTTTGTATAAAGAAAATACCTGATACATATTTATTTAATAAAAGTAGTGAGGAAAAACTCTTGGGAGACAACAATAAGACAAAGAGAAGCCATCCTTTAATCTATGGAGCCAGCAAAAACAAGGGTTTTGTCATTATCCAATGAAGAATAAATTAGGAAATGTGAGAGATTGGGAAATTGGTTCTAGTAGTGGTTTCCAAACTTTAGCATGAATCAGGGCTTGCTAAAATACAGATTGGTGAGCCCCACTCTAGACTTTCTGATCTAGTGAATCTGAAGTGGTGTCTGAGAATTTATATTTATAACAAGTTCTCAGGTGATACAGATGCTGCAGGTCAGGGGAACATACTTTGACAACCACTGGAGATAGTACCCTTGAGTACATAATATGTACACAGATAAGAGTTTATCATAAAATGAATCAAACAATAGACATTATAAAAGCAATTCTATTACCATTTTCTACTAAATTAATAAAGATGTTTGAAAATGCAATACCCACATAATTAAACTTGGGGAAACAGGGCCTCTCTTACATTACTGATAGGAATCTAAATCTGTGTAACATTTACGAGGGGCTAGGCAATCTAGCAAATGGTTGTAAGTGCTTTATAAATATATGGCCTTTGATCCTGTAATATACCTCCCAGGAATTTAACCTAAGGAAATGGTCAAAAAAGCATATAATTATTAATTTTAAATGATGTTGACAAAAGCATGGTATATAAAAAGAGAAAGAACAAAACAACTTATATATCCAACAACATGGAAATGTTAAATCACTGGACTATTATGATGCTATAAAATTGTGTTTTGAAAATATATTTAAATGGAAAAAAATGAGCAAAATAAAATGACAAGTAGGAAAAATGTAAAACTGTAGAGCATACCAATATTATTTTCTAAATTATATATTACATATTTAGATTTTACAAATTATATGACACAGTATGTCTTCAAAGTTACACACAAGACAAAATATTTAAACAGTTATTTATATTTTCAAGTAATATGCCTAATATATATTTTTTCAAACTCCAGATATTTTGAAGATGAAATATCTCTAAATTATAGCAATAAACCCAATAGTTAATCTGAAAAAAAGCATAATAATTATATTAGAGAGTACCTAAAAAGCCTGGATAAATAGCATGTTTAGAGTATTTCATCTGAAAACACTGAGCTTAATAAACTCTGTAAGAATAAGTTTATTTTATGTTTCCTGACTTTGCTAACATTCTATGTATGGTTTTGTTTTACCTATCAGCATGTTATGTATGTAAGAGACATATCAAATGTAATAATACACATATGCTATTATGATATCTATACCGCATTGTGCTTTCTATATAGGACATAACTCTATGTATATTCAAAATGGTTGCATTGATTTTTGTTCATATTTGAAGACACTGTTTTCTTTTTTCTTTAAACCATCCTGTCAATCACCATACACAGAATCATTTTCCCTGATCAATGCTACCCTGCAACTGCCTCTCAGAATCATTGGCTTTGGCCTCACCTTGGTGTTCTTCAGTCACTCAAGTGGGATTGATAGAGAGCTGTCTTCCAATCAGTTATAGAAGCTACTGAGATCTAGCTATTTCCTATCATACATGATTAGTACTGATCATTGACTCTGTAAGAAAGGGTAAGGGAAACTGCCTCCCTGTCTTCTTTCCAATCTACCACTTCTAGAGCTACACTCTCCAATGTGGTAGCCACTAGTCACATGTACCTACTTAAATTTAAGTTAATTAAAGTTTTAAAATACAATTCCTCAATCACACTAGCCACATTTAAGGGCTTAACAGCCATGCATAGCTAGTGGCTACCAATATCGGACAGCAAAGATGTAATATAAAGCATTTCCACCAATGCAGAAAATTTGTTGGACAGAGTTGTTCCAGCTGTTAAGGGAGTTGGAATAGGCCTCAAATCTGGCCTACTGTTGCGGGTCACAGGCAGGGTAGTGGGGTTTCCCCAATGCTGTCATCGCTAAAATTGAATGTAGACCTGACCAGGTAACTGAACACACCTTTTGTTAAAAAAAAAAAAAAAAAAAAATTAAGTGCAAGGAGCTTGCTCTCCAGGATCTATCTTCTTTCCCATACTCTCTCCAATCTCCTTTTTCTCCAACATTAACATATGGATAATAAAACATTATCCTTTTTACTCACTCAGCATATACAATGTGATTCATTCTGAACATGATAATCACTATTTCCATGCCTAAACAGAAAACAAACCATGATGCCAAACTTAAGACCAATAAATAGACACATATGCAAACATTTACCTCTTTTAAGCTTTCTTTGCAAAGAGGACAATATGGTGCATGATCTAAACAACGCTCAAGACAATTCTTACAGAATGAATGTCCACAAGGGGTTGTTACTGGCTCAAAAAACAACCTGAAATCAACCAAAATACATGTTAGTTGTATTAATAATGAAATCTTAACATTAATCTCTATTTAAAAAAGGGAGGAGAGCCCAGTGAGCAGAACAGGAGGGAAAGGGCAGTGATAAGTGTAACTATACTCTCCTGTACTTTTTAAAAGTTCTCCATCAACAGAGGTACATTGCCAAGGGCTAGAGCTGTGCTAACTAATACAATAGCCACTGGGCACCTGTGGCTATGAAGCACTTGAAATGCAGCTAGTCCAAACTGAACACATGCAGTAAATGTAAAATATACCAGATTTCAAAGACTTAGTACAAAATAAATAATGTAAAATCTATCATTAATAATTTGTATAGCCTTTATATTCCCATTCTATTAACCTAAAAATGGTTCTCTTAATAGGTTTCTAAGTCTTACTATATAAAATTCATAAAAAATAATCTAATAAATAATACAGCTGAATCCCAAAGAAATATTAGGCCTAATACTAGATGTAATACTCAAGCAATGTAGAAAAATTGATTTTACTTCATTTATAATTATTCCTGACACATGATACTTATGAATTTCCTAGAAATAGTGTTAAATTTAGAGGTACTTTAGAAATTGGTCTAATCCCTTCACCTCACAGATGGAAAAATCAAGGCTGTAAATTAAGAGACTTCCTCAGGAATCTAGTTGCTACCAGCCAAGTGTGACCAGCACCAGGTCTCCCAACTCTTCATGAACCCTTTGACTCTACCAAAATTCATGTAAATGAGAAATAGTCTTTCAAAACACCCAGTCTTTTAGAATCATAAGCATGTTTCAATAATAAAATCTGTAACTTTCATAGTACTTTGCAACTTACATAGTACAACTGGTTTCCTGGAATCAATCCCCATGAATACTGAGTGACAACTGTATTTATATAGCCCTAGACATCAAATAGCCCTGGTATTTATGATCTGTATAGCCTCCTCCCTTTGAATGGACAGGACTAGTGACCTACTTCTAACCTAAAGGTGATAATAGGATGTCAATTCCAGGAGTAGTCACAGATGTGAATTTTGTCTTGTTAGCAGACTGTCTCTCTTGCTGGCTTGGATAGAGCAAGCTGCCATATAGAAGCAGCCCACCTGGCAAGGTACTAGTAGTTGTCTCCATCCAATAGCTAACAGACGTCAGGCTGACTTATGATGAAGTTTAAAAGCAGTTATGCTATTATAGTTGTTCCTACCTTGAGAAAACTAAAATAAATATAAAGATCTACATATTCTAAGAAACTAAAAGTGTTCTGACATTCAGGTAACCTAAAATTCTAAGCCATTTGATTCTCACAACACTGTCATACAGGCTATGCAAATACTAACACCAGTTTCTAAATAAGAAAAACCAAGGTTCACAGATTCAGTTACTTGTCCAAGGTATGAAAAGTGAACCCAACACTACAATTTATGTCTTCTGATTTTTAGTCCAGCATTTTATACTTTACATTGCCTGTTATAACCTTTATCTACACTGCATTTTATTTACATTAATATAAAATATTCATCTTGTATAAAACTTTATATACTTACCTCATGCAGAGAGAACACTCAAAATCTGAGACATCTATCAATTCTTCTGGAATATCGCCATAAGCTAATGAAAACATACAGACTTCACTGGGAGTTTCTATTAAAACAAACAGGGTTTTCTTCTTTAGGAAAATGCTTAAAGGCCTTTCCAAATAAATTTATTTTATATAACAGTAGAGTGAAATTTTTACCTCCTTGTTTTTTAAGCTTATTTCTTCCATCTTCATTTACAATTACATCTTGTTCTAAAAGAGACAACTTTCTTTTCAGCAGAACACCTTTTTCTTGAACAGATAGTAAAGGTTCTGAGGACACTCTTTTTAAACAATCCTCTCTGGCAGGCATTTCTGTTGAATTTATAGACTGTGCTGACTGAGCACGGTTTAAGCTTCCTTTGACAGGCTCTGAAGTGACCTCTGGTATTTCTTCACTCTACAAAAATACAATAAACAAAGGTCACTGTATTTCTTTACTGTCCTTTATTCCTTTCACCAAGAATCAAAGTGAAATGAAATGAAATTTTAGTGCCTTATAATGCTCATTTTAATGTTCATTTAATAGCACAAACTTTTAATTCCAATATCATGACAAATAAATGATTTTTGCTAGTATAGTTGGCCCTCCACATCTACGGGTTTTGCATCCATGAATTCAACCAACAACGGATAGAAGATATATATATATATATATAAAAGTCTGAACATGTACAGATGTTTCTCTTGTCATTATCCCCTAAATAATACAGTATAACAATTATTTATATAGCATTTACATTGTATTAGGTATTACAAGTAATATAGAGATGATTTAAAGTATACAGAAGGATGTGCATAGGTTATATTCAAACACTATCATTTTGTATCAGGGACTTGAGCATCTACAGATTTTAATATTGGTAGGAGGTTCTGGAACCAATCCCTGTGGATACTGAGGGACAACTATACTCATATAGCCCTAGACATCAAGCTGACTTATGAGGAAGTTTAAAAGCAGTTATGCTATTATAGTAGTTCCTACCCTGAGAAAACTAATATAAATATGTATATATTCTAGGAAACTGAAAGTTTTCTGACATTCAGGTAACCTAGAATTGTGATTAATAAGCAAATATTTCATATAAAACGTTTTAGAGTAAAATAAAAGGCTACAAAAGTCCTATTCAGATAACTAAACAGGTTAAAAATATTTAAATAGGTTCTAGTACTTAAAACTAGGAAAGTGAAGATCAATTTTTCTTTTTTAAGAAATGGGGTCTAGGCCAGGCGCAGTGGCTCACGCCTGTAATCCTAGCACTCTGGGAGGCCGAGGTGGGAGTTCGAAACCAGCCTGAGCAAGAGCAAGACCCTGTCTCTATTAAAACTAGAAAGAAATTAATTGGATAACTAAAACTATACAGAAAAAATCAGCCAGGAATGGTGGCGCATGCCTACAGTCCCAGCTACTTGGGAGGCTGAGGCAGAAGGATTGCTTGAGCCCAGGAGTCTGAGGTTGCTGTGAGCTAGGCTAATGCCACAACACTCTAGCTAAGGCAACAGAGTAAAACTCTGTCTCAAAAAAAAAAAGAAAAGAAATGGGGTCTTGCTCTGTCACCTTGACTAGAATACAGTGGCGTGATCAAAGCTTACTGTAGCCTCTAACTCCTGAACTCAAGCAATCCTCTTGCCTCAGCCTCCCTGAGTAGCTGAGACTATAGGCACATGCCACAACACCCAGCTAATTTTTTTTTTCTTTAATTTTTTGTAGAGATGGCGTCTTGCTAGGTTCCTCGGCTGATCTAAAACTCCTGGGCTCAAGCCATCCTCCCACTTAGGCCTCCCAAAGTGCTAGGATTATAGGCATGAGCCATCATGCCTGGCTGAAAGTGAAGATTTTTACTTGTAAAGAAATAGATATGCTAAACCAGGGGTCCTCAAACTTTTTAAACAGGGGGCCAGTTCACTGTCCCTCAGACTGTTGTTGGAGAGGGCAGCGCACATTCCACACATGCACACTGTGGGCCCCGGGATGATTGGCTGCTGGCAGGCCAGATAAAAGTTTGAAGACCCCTGTACTAAACCCATAATAATTTATTCGCATTCCTTACCGGCTTTGGGCTAAGCTCAATGGGAGAGTGAGACTCTTCCATTACTGAAGGAAAACCAAAAGGTTTGTTTTTAATACATGGTAATGAACTCCAGGAGGATTCCTTCAGGCCTTCTTTTAAGTTTTCAGGTGATAATAAATCACATAAAATCTGTAAGAGAAATTATCAAAGTAATGGAAAATATAACATATTTAGTTAAGGATAATTTAGTATAAATTTACCTAGTATTTAAGAATTTTTTAGAAAGTTTGTAGTAGACATTAGTTTGAATGATCAGGAGAGGAACAAGTTGAGCAATACAGTAAATACAGTAAGTTAAAAAGTCTTACAAAACCAAGGTGTGCCTCATGAGGTCAAATCACCAAAAAAAAAAAAAAAAAACTGAAAACTTTAAAAGGCAGGCATGGGAGTGGGTAGACTCAGGGTAAAGGTTGTCCTTTTAATATAAAGACTATAAAAGATTTTAAAAGAAGTATAAAAAATTTACCTCTGAACATTAATGAGCCCTATCCTGTCAAAACAGTTCATAGTTCACCCCAATGTATATTTTAAGATTAGACTTAGACTGTTTATGTGAACTACAGAACTTGGACTTCCAACTGCAGAAATCAAAAACTCCCTGTGTTTACACTGAATTCAGCCTCTTACTGAACACCTTACATGTGAGGGCAGTCACCAATGGCCAGCACTTGGTTGAGAACAGCAAGTGGCAGTACCCCTATAATAGCTTGGGAGTTAAACTGGAAGACAGCTGGAGTATAAAATTTCTGGAGACTTACATTGGGAATACACCTAAAACTCTGAAAGAAACAGGGCAAGTTAAGATAGGGGATAAACACCACTCCTAGGTATTTGCCAAAAGGATGTAAAAACATGTCCACAAAATGACTTGTATATACAAGAATTTTCATAGCAGCTTTATTCATAACAGTAAAAAAAAAAACTGGAAACAATCCAAATGAAAATCACTACCAACTGAACACCACAAATTGCTGTGTGCTCCTATAATAGAACACTTAGTGAACAATAAAAAAAGAAAAAAATTACCAGATGTTATCATAAAAATATTACATTGAACAAAAAAAACTGGACACAAAGAGTACACACTGAGTCCATTCATATGAAGTTCTAGAACAAGCAACACTACTCTATGGTGATAGAAATCTAAACAATAATTGTCTCTAGGAGCAGGGGATGGAGGATTTACTGGAAAGGAGATGAAGGAATTGTCCAGGGTGATGGAAGTACACTCTATTTTAATTAGCATGCCATTATATGGGTATATTCTTTTTTCAAAAATCACCAAACTGGAAAATCCATGCATTTTATGTAAATTATACTACAATTTACAAAGAGGATATTGGGTAAAAATAAAATATTTTAAAGCATCATTTGTTTTGCATTTATCTGACCAAACAATTACAGAAATATAAGAATATACAGCAGTATGAAAAATGCAAAAACATACACTTAAAAAGTTTTCACTCTCACCAGGGAGATAATACTAACAAAGAATAATCAGAAAACAGACAACAGCAATTTTTTGTTAATCAGTGAGCTAGAATGTATATGTAAATAAACCTCATAAAGGATATAACAATGTTAGCTGGATTGTTAATGGAGTTGAGATCTATGAAAAATTTCACTGTTCTCTTACTTCAAGGTACACAAACATCTCCTGAGATGCTTGAAAAACTATTGTCTCAATTTCAGAGATTGTGATCAAAGGCCTATGGTTGGTGGGGCCCAGGAATCTTTATGTTTAACATGTACCCCATATGAAACACTACAGCAGTGATAAATAACATGGCACATTCTGAAGATGCAGACAGCACCATGACTGGGACCCTAAATTTGTACTAGGGTAGATTTTTTTCAAAGAACTTTTCAAAGACATTCTTTCTAGATACTCTGTGAATAAGTTTGACAAGAACTGAATGCTATTGTTTTTTCATGCTGGCATATCAAATACTCTGAAAAGTTCTAAAGAAACCTGTTTAACTTGTTTTAACCCAATGTTTCCCACAGTCATTTGATCAGAGAACTCCTTTTTTTTTTTTTTTAATTAACACCTAACACACCATAGATATAACAAACTTTGGAAAGTGATACATGGAATATCAAGAAAAATAAGGCAAAACAAGTTGACTAGGGCTACCCTATTGGCATCATCGGAAGTAGGCAAAATTTATATCTGAAGTGAAAAGCAAAGGCAGGTCAATACTATTCCAGAGCAGGAACACAACTGCAATGTTAAATAAGGACCATCAGTCTGGCTTGGATTGAACAAACTATTAAGGAACTAAATTAACTGAGCAAAAAATTTGCATTGAAATATCTATGAATGAAATGTTTTGATTTCACTAAGAACTCAAAACACTAAAGATATGAACCTGAAAACCACTTGTCAAAATGCTCCTAAGTTAGATTTATTCACTTCTTGTGTTGTTATTCCAACTTTATACTTAGCATTTTTTAAAAAGACACGTGTCTTTGTCCTGCCTATAACCAAATAGTTGGTAAACTGATTACCTTTTCTACTTGTAGCTTTGCAGGTGCAAAATCTTCATCAAGGGCTAAGCACTGAAGAAAGAGTTGTAAGGCATCACCTAAAAAACCAGCATCATGGAGTACTTTTCCTTTCCTGTAGTAGACCTTCAATAAAAGCACATATACAAAAACTTTATGGATAAAATTGGTTTAAAAAAATCATTATCAAGTAAAGAAAAAAAAATAGTCTGCTCAGAAATGCTAATTTTGAAACTGTGAATGACTTTGAGGAGGCCAAGGCATATTAAAGGCATACACACTACGCTGGAGAAGCACTAAATGGGAAAGTGAGGCCCAGACAATGATTTGACCAAAGCTCCATAGCAAGTCAGAGCATAGCAAGACCAGAAATATCATGTTCCCTCATTTTTAAGAAAGTATTGATTTAAATATTATTGATGTAATAACAGGTGTTTAAGGAAAAAAGGAAGTAATATGTAAAATTACATTGACTTTAAGATGCATCAATATAAAGAAACATTAAAATGTGAAAAAAAAACTATCTTAGATTTAGGGCAATATGGTAAATGTCTTCCATGTTATTAAGAATATATATTTGGCTATGCTATTTCTTAAGAAAGTACTTATAGACATGACACTTTTCATAAATCCTTATTTTGCCTTTTATTTCTCTCCTTCATGATATGAGTTCAGCAAGCTCTATGACAATAACTGGAACCCTACTAATCATCACTGATCAACCAAAAATTCAATCTGTGGATCAATCCACCAACAAAGTGTCAAGAACGTATTATTAAATAACATCAGAGGAGCCTAAACAACGTTCTAGTCAAACAGCTTTTTAGCTACCATTTCAATGGCTGAAGAAAACCACATTTCTGATTATATCACTTCAGTGATAAGTTTGGAGAGTTCTTTCCTTTTTAAGTCTTAAAGTTAATCATACTGACCACTGTCCCCTTATTCTGAATATATATTTGCTTTGTACTAACCAGTCATGCCATCACAGAATTTCGTATCATTTCCCTAATTAACTTAAATTTTTAGGGCATCCTTACTACACTCTCCTCAAAGGCATAGTTTTGAATGGAGGGAATAAAGTCACATAAAAGAGTAACTTCTATCTTAAAGAACACATGCAAGAAACAGACCAGTTTGCCTTGGCAATTTGATAAAAAGGAGAATTAGTAAACTGATTATATGTTATACATGTTCTTCAAGTCTTTTTTTTTAGAGACAGGGTTTTGCTCTGTCACCCAAGCTGAGGCTGAAGTGCAATAGTGGCACAATCGTAACTTACTGCAATCTCAAACTCCTGAGCCTAAGCCATCCTCTTGCCTCAGCCTCCTGAGCAGCTGGGACTACAGGCACTTGACACCATGGCCAACTAATTTTTTTTTTTTTTTTATAAAGACAGGGTCTCACTATGTTGCTCAGGCTGGTCTCAAACTCCTGGCCTCACCTCAAGTCTTTTTTAAAACTATGTGGGTAAGACAACCTCCTTTGTCCTCATCTTCTGTATTAATCACTGCCTAATCACCCAGTTGCCATTATAATGCTTCAAACAATCTTCCAACCTCAAGGACCTATTTTATTTCTATTAATAAACCTCCTTCAGTGAAGTCTGGTTTGAGTCCACACTCATGATAGATGGCAAGTTGTATTTCTTTGTAGAAATTTTATACAATAATGTTTTTTTCTGTGCCATGAATTGTTCCTTATTTACAAAACAAAGGTTTCTTATAATTTAAAAACCTGTCAGATAATATTCATCCACCCAAAATATTGAACCTAGATTTCCAAGACACTATGTCTTTTATTTGGAGTCAATCATCCATTTTGTTAAAACTTGAAACCCTAATTGAATCGAAGTTCCCTACAGTTGAAATTTTTAAATTTATGCAAATATAAAACAGTAATTTTACCTCAGGCCAATCTGGAAGTTGAAAGAGAACTGCATTTAAATCTTCTATGGCTGCTTTAAATTCTTGGAGACCAGCATATGATTCCGCTCTGTAAATTTTCAGAATCAGGTCCCTGGGCTCTGAAATAAATATTTTATAAGGATATGATTATTTTTAAAAGATTATTATATAATCCACAAAATATTATCACACTAAATTAAGAAATGACTTAGTGAGTCCAAAGTCAACAACCACCAAGCTAAAAAGTATGAACAGTATAGATAAAACCCATTTTACATGTTGAATCTTATCTAGAATTTATATCAAATAATTCTAAGTAGATCATTTTAGTGGACAAAATTGTTTTCAAGAATACTGAAAATATTTTTATAATGTGAATAATCATCCCTAAGAAAACTAATATTTTTTTAAAAAGGAAGTCTATAGAGATTTTAAAGACATATGTCTTACATGTCTAGAAGATTTGCCTCTTTACAGTAAATCTTATTTTTTATGCCCTAATCTCTAAACCTTCATTTATAAAAATGGCCACATGTACAACTATTGCACATGGGATTTCCATAGTGACAAAAGAATGACCAAGGATCAATCTTACAAGGGTATATAGTGGTCCTGATTCTTGAGGAAATGGGTTGGTAAGAGTAAGATTTTAAGAGGTCAAAATTTTAATTTTAATTACTGCCACTAGCAAGAATGGTATTGGTCCAACTCAAAATATATTTAACTTCAAATATTCCTGATAAAAAAGGCTTTGTGGTTAATTTCACTATCCTCTATATCTGTACTTGAGAAACTAAATTATTAATCCATGGCATTCAGAATTTCAGACACTTAGCTGGTTCACTTATATTTATGTGACCAATTACTACAGGTATACAGATTCTAAAACTAAAGTCTAAGCAAGAAATTAATTTTCAACAGATTACATTAACTTGATTAATATCAACAGATGACATTAACTTGATTTTCTTTTAAAGTATTCACCTTTGAAGGCTTCAAAAACATAACATAAAGCACTCACTGTGAGCAGGGTATAAAGACCTCAATGTGTGTAAATAAAATCTAAAAAAAAAAATCATTACTAGCTCCCTGGTTTACTCTAGTTTCTAAATGATTATTTTTTACAGATAACTTTCACTTGAACAATTACTTTAGGCCTCTTTCAGTTGCTGGTGCTTAAGAACTAGAATTATATTGTTCCCACAATTTTATTTCAACGAAAATTTTTGAAGTAGAATGAAATTAGTGTTTTTATAAAAAAATTTTTACTTCCTAAAAAAAGATATGTCTAGAGTATTTTGTCTTGTGTTTCTTAAAGCAACATAATTGAAAATCATTATCTCCGAACAAAAACACAGAAATTAAAAGCTCAATATGATTAATCAATCAGGAATTAAGAGTTCCTAGCACAAAGCTAGACCCTCTAACTGTTCAAACATGTTTTACATTATTCCTGCCTTTGAGGAGCTTATGATCTAGTTAGAAAATTTTATTGTGCAGCAGCATCGTGTAATACTGATTTGACAAGTACAACTGGATTTCAGAAAACAGAGTAGTGCATGCCAAAATAGTCTGAGAATGAATAGTAAAGGCATCAGCATCAGAAACTCTGGGCTGTAAAGGACTGGGCCCAGAAAGTGCAGCTTTCCACCCACAGCTGGTATGCTTCCAATAGCATCCTTGAGACAGACTGCTTTAACACCTCCAGCAAGGAGGAGTTCACTATCGCAACAAGCAGCCCCATTCCATTCTTGGATCCTTACAGGGCTTTTTTTTCCCTCTTTTTAATTTCAATTTTTTTTATACCCCAAGTTCTCACTGCTTTACAACTGATGCAATGCACATGCTCAACTATCTACCCTTTTATCCCTGCCTTCCCTGCTCAATCACCTTTATACAGCTTCTTTAGGGCAGCACAGAAAGGAATGACCTAGAACACCTATCTTTTAAAATCCAGTCAATCTATAAAATTTCTCCACTTTGACCAAAGCAAGAAAAGACTGTGTCCCTTCTCCTCTCCAAACAGAAAGTCTCAGGCTACTGCAATCCCCCTCCAGGGGGTCCTAAAATGTTAATATATATTGGGGTAAGAAGAGAAGATGTATATCTTAAGAAGAGATGGAAAAGAGAGCCAGATTTTAAGACTCTTGTTCCCCAACTCCTCATAGATGTAATGTTCTTATCGAGAATTTCAGTTAATGGAATAATTATTTTAAATGACTCTATTGGAAGAAAAGAAACAACTTCATCAGGCGAATTCAAATTTTCAATACTTTTTTTAAAAGATTAGGACCATTCCACTTATTTACTTCAAATCCTTCTTAATTCTGAAAAAGAGCCAAATGCACTAATTAAGGCCCTTTGAATAATCAAAGCATACAGAATGTCTGCCCTCCATGGAAACTTTCAAGAAAGGGAATTGGAAAACAGCAGTCAGTCCTGGCTGTGTCATTAACTTAAGTTTGAAAGAGTCAACAAATATTTACTGTATGTTCTCTACCTGACCTCGAGGACAGTGGAGTGAACAAGTCACCTCACTGCACACACCATCAGGAAGATCCTGCCTCTCACTCCAAACACACTTTCTATTTGTTGAAAAGTGATGAAATACAAAGATGACATGGTGGTTTGGGTTATTTGTACTGAATATGATTATGGTACTTAACTCCATGATCTTTTTCTAAATCACTTAATATCTCTGGTCTTGTTTCCATGTCTACCAGAACCAGGGACAGATCTGCTAGTTCTGAGTCATGATTTAACTCCCTGATCTTTATCTTCAATCCTGATTTTCAACTTAACCTCAGTTTCATCAAATTTCCAACGACCTGCTATCCTTTGTCTCAAACTCAGCATGTTCTTCACTTAAAAAGTGTTTTCACTGTATTCTCTAACAGTGACATCACTGACTTCCCAAATCAGAGTCCTCCTTAACTTTGTCAATATCATCTCCTATGATAGTTCTCTAATCTGTCACCTCTCTTTTCTAATTCTACTGCTAGTAGCCCTAGGTTAGGCTCCCCAAATCTCTTTAGTACTATTGCAATAGCTTGCTAACTGATCCCTTTGCCTCCAGCTCTACCCTACCTACATCTCACCATCTGCAAGATAAAACAGTATTATTCAGCACAACAGATGAGTTCCTCCACACCAGGCTCCGCCCCATCTCTCCAGCCTTACTTCTTATCATTACCAACCTCCCTCCCAGTTAGACCCAACTACTCACACTGCCCCACACAGACTGTTCTATTTTGTGCCTCCTTCCTTTGGCTCACAGAGCTCCTCCCTTATACCATTCCTTACACACCCTCCTCCTCTTTGCCTGGCTAACTTTTTATCACCCAGAAGCCCTCACCTCACCAGTCTCCTTCCAAGATGTTTTTCTTTGGCTCCACTTCCACACATCATAAGGATCATGAGCATGATCTGGCTCTGCCACTTATGGTGACCTGGGCCAAATTACAAATCATCTCTGTACTTCAGTTTCCTTTGCTATAAAATTGAGGGGTTTTTCAAAATTTGTTTTTAAGAAATACCACTTACTATGTACTATTCTAAATGATTTATAATGTTCAGAACAATTCTACAAGGATCTAGTATTGTCCACATTTTTATAGATAAGACAACTGACCACAGAAAGTTTGAGTAGCTTGCCCAAGATCATACAGCTAGTAAGTGGAGGATTCAAGATTCTAACTCAGGCAGCCTGGCTCCAGCCTTCTTGCCATTTGCCTCTATGCTATGCTACTAAAGTATCTTCCTCACAGGGTTACTCAAGAGAGTAAGTTAATATATGCAAAGTACTTAGAACAGGGATTGGTATATCAAAAGCATGCTTTGTCTGCTATTATGATTATGTTCCTTCACTATATATGTATAGTATTTATTAGAGGAATTTTAAAATCTATTTTTGAGGTCCATTATTTCCTGTCTTTATATTTTCAGATCCTAGCTTTAATAAATGCTTCCTGAACTTAGGGGAAATTAATTAAAATCTGATCCCTTAAGCTCAATTCATGCTCCCATTTTCTCTTTTCTGAGACCCAGTATTATTTGTAAGTCATTGGGAAAATAAGAAGATTGAAATAAAACTCTTGATACACCTCTGAGGGAACTAGTCTTCAGCTGTCCTGAGCATTTCATGGGCTGAAAAGTTTTCTATTCTAGAGTCAAGGTTCTCTCTTTGTTCTAATCCTTAGGGATCTATGATTAGCAACAGGAGTCTTAAAGTTGATTCTTTAATCCATCTTCAAGAAACTTTTTTTCAAATCACAGAAGTTATGTTTGCTCATAAAATTTGAAAAATATAGAAAATTAAGAATTAAAAGCTATCTTTTTCCCATCACAAAGAAATAATCAGTGTTGACCCTGTCAAAAGACAAAAGGACCAAAAGCCAGTTGGCTTTTATCTGTGATTCTAGAAATGGACAGCACTTTGTTCTATATAATGGGTATTCTGATAAGCTGAACAAAAGTTGGCTTTATAGGCAGAAAAGGGCTGAAGAAAGCAGAAATGGGACAAAAAGTAGATCGGGTGTTTCAAAGTTGAAAACTTCCCTTATAGGGTTAAAACAGAGGAGACTTCCTTATATCACTGACTCAGGCTGACTGGAATCTCTTGTTTTTGGAAAACTGGCCATTTCAAAGTTCAGTTTGATCATGTGGCACTTAGCACATATATTCTGGTTTGGTCTGGTCTGCGGGGGCCTAGTGCTGAAGGCTAGTCCAAAACAATGGCCTCCCATGAAGTTTTTTTTCCTATGTGTGTAGATTTCATTTTTAATGTATACTTTTTAAAGAATATACCACATATCTGTTTATAACTTGCTTTTTCCCCATGTAATTAAAAACTATTCCACATGATTTTTAATGGCTACAAGGTATTTTACTACATATGTAATCTATTAAAAAATTTCCTACTCTGCAATTAAGTTACTTCCAATTTTTTGGCATAAAAAGCACAACAAACACCTATATGTTTATGTATCTGCTTATTTTCTTAGAGTAATTTGCTATAAAGTTGAATGAGTATGCAGAAAGTTTATACATACACAAAGTTTTTAATACATTTTACTAACCCTCCTTTTATAAGAACTTTATTTCACATTCCCAACAAGCT